TACCTATGACATGAGCATAGGCAAGACAACAGAAAATTTTGAAGTAAGAATAATTGATAAGAGAACCAAATCACACCTCCTTATATGTTAATAGCTTCTATCCAAAAGTTATTTGACAGACCCGCATAAGATATCATACTTTTAGCACGCTCTAAGAGTGTCTTGTTCATCTATTTTGTAACTTCATTATGTTGTGGTGTTTCTACTATAGTGCGATACTAAACGATACATTCGTTCTTGTAGAACTCATCGAAATTATTTGAGCGAAATTCCACACCATTATCAGCACAGAGGTGCTTGATTTGCTTTCCAATTGTTCATTCAATCAACACGTTTCGTTGTTTAAATATGATGAACGCCTCACTCTTCTTCTTGAGAAAGTAAACGCATACTTTCTTGAAAAAGTTATTAATAAAGGTCACCAAATAACTTTCACTACCTTCCAAAATAACAAGAGCAAGACCTCAAAGATTATAGTAGATGGTAATTTATTATACCCTTGGTCCAATAGACTATAGTACTAAACCTTACTCTACACTATTTGTCAAACAAAGTCCTCACAAAAATCTAATTTATTAGTCTTTTGACCTACATATAAATCATACTCGCTTAACTCTATCATATATCGTTCTCTCATATGGGCCAACCTTATGTGTCATAACTAAGTAAAAATATATGAATCTTTAATCACATTCACACTATCTGTAACAATGTGTCTAAATAGATAATAAAGAGTTCCAATCATCTTTGCCTTTATTTGAATCAAAACACCTCTAAAAACTCATAGAATATCATTTTATGAAGAATATTTATATCTTCATTTATCCAAAGTATCCAAAGATATCAAAGTTATTCTTCAACTTTAGAATGTCTCATTTCTAAAGTCATGATGCCATTATTGTACATCTTGATTCGTATTGTATTTATTCATGTAACATCAATAGTGTTATCATCACTAAATGTTATAATATCACTACTTATTAGTGTGTAAGTAGAAAACTAGTCTTTGTGAGGACACATAAAGTAGGTACATCATGTATCAAGAATCCAACCATTATTAAAAGATCTAGTAAAAACTAATAAAATAGTTTTACCAAAGTCAGTCTCCTCTTGAATGATATTCATTATATTAGAAGACTCATCATTTCCTTTTTTCTTTAACTTTAGACAATTCTTCTTAATGTGTCATTTCTTATTGCCCTCATAATAATGAAACTTCTTCACTGAGTTAGATTTTGATCTTGATATATTCTTTTGACCATGCTCCTTTTTCTTTCTTCCATGAACTATCAAGTCATCGCCCAATCATCTTTTTGAATATCTTACATTTTTTTCTTCGACTCCCTTAAGTTAAGTACAACCTTGACATCTTCTACTATAATATCGTATTTGTCGAATAGAAAAGTTTTTACAAAATTCTCATACAAAAGAGATGAAGAACACGGAAGTAATATGGCTTCATCTTCATCTTTTATTCTAATACCAATATTATTTAGATCTATAACAATCTTTATAATTTATTCATATAATCAATAACATGTGCACCTTCTCTCAAAAGTAAAGTTTATAACTTACGTTCCAAATATAATTGACTTATGAGTGATGTTGTCATAAACTTCTTCTCAAAGTTTCTTCAAAGTAACATCATCTGATATTTCTCATAACACATCATCTGCCAAGGTTAGATGAATTGTGACTAGAGCACGCTCTAAGTACTCTTCATTTTCATTGTCCTTTCACTTGGTCAGTAAGTTTTCTTTGACCATTAATACCTTGTTTAGCCCCTAATGTATCAACAATTACTTCATCTTAAGTCACCAAATATTGAAATATTTCATCTTCTGATCGAATACTTCTATGTCGAACTGCATTGATAATGTACTCTTGACTGCCATCAATAATGAAAATAAAAATTGATGACATAATCTAATTTTGATACCAATGTATTAGAGTAATATGTCATATGTGGACTTTAGTGAAAGTGATGCTCACAATATGAAATAAGGTAGAAGAAAGCACAACTCACAACAAGAGTACTGATACAAAGATTTTATGGTTGGCCTCCTACATTCATGGGGATGACAAAAACTCTATTAGATGTGAAAGTAATACAAGAGAATCACTCATTAAAAATCTAGAGAGCAAATATCTGATCTTAACCCTTCTAAGATCCCAAAGAATAGATCATTGATCTTAACCCTCTAATACACTCATTAGCTAAAAAGATCTTCTTTTGGAACTCTCTTCCAAACACTCTCTCTCTATGGTGTAACAAGGTAAAATGAGTTGCTTCGTAGCCTGCACCGTTTCACTAACACCGTTTCGCTTCGTGGGTTGCTCAGCCCATAAATGGGCCGTTGAGTCAGTGAGGATCAGTATTACGGCTGACCGTTTCTCCCTTGCCCTCTATTTCTCCTCTTTGCATTAAATGCGAGCATTTAATGTGACAACATTTAATGACACGGAGGATGGGGATGAAGTCGCCGCAGTTATACTCCGAGTTCTCTCCCAGGCGGCTCCGCTTGCCGTTGAGCGCCCTGAGAGCTTCAGGAAGAGGAGTCCAACTTGAATCGGCGGTCAAACATGATCCTGTAAATGTTGTTGTACATCATGGAGCTGGAGACGCTGCTACAGCTCTCTCTCCACCGTCGCCGCCTTGGGGTCAACCTTGAGGTCCGCCACCATCCGGGCAGCCTCCTCCCTCCAGACCTGCTCTGCTGCATTCCCTTGTTGGTGAAGAAGGCCACGGTCATGATTCGCCTCATCCTCCGCCAGTGCTCGCCGTAGTCGGTGAACACCATGTCCTGGCCCTTGCCGGTGAAGATCTCGAAGACGACGTTGCAGGTGCGAGAGCCGAACTCGCGCGCCATCTCCGGGCGAGGAGAGCACCATCAGGTTGCGCTGTCCCATGCGGAGCAGAAAGATCTCACCGAAGCGGCGCGCCATGGCCGTCAGATTGCGGTAGTTCAGGTCATCTCCGACCTGCAGCCAGTTGCCGAAGACTTGCACCGGAATGGGCCCCGGCGGCAGCTTGAACCGCTTCCCTCGTAGCTTCGAGACGACCACAGCCAGGGTGAGGGCCACGAAGAGCCCCAGGAGGACCTTCTCCAGCAGGACGAGATCCAAGGTAGGCGGCGCCGCCATCCTCCCTCTCTGCTCAACCAGTCCGTGATTGTATATAGGCCGTTATTTGACGGCGGACGGTCGCGAGTTGAATGCAGGAGACTCTTCCAACTTTTCAGCATCATAGTATCTTCCTCGGCTGGCATCGTGCCGTGATTATAATGACCAGGGACCCTGGCCATATCTTCTTATTGGAATGGTCCACGGGGTGAAGCTCATCGAGGACAGACAACGTGCAGGTTAGACTGCTTGGATAGCCGAAAGTATATCGTGTCTTCCCTGTTGACCATGTCACGGTCCGATAACCCCCTGCTAACCTTTTAGAGAGAGAGAGAGAGAGAGGGAGAGAGATAAATCCTCTTAATTCCTCACGATGAGGAAGTAGTAGACAGATGTGACCCAGGCTGGCCGTGGTCAGATGCCTACAGCTGTGTGTGGGCCGACTCGGGTGCTAATGGGCCTTCCTCCGCATTACACATTTTCAGCTATTATCGTTCGGAGAAATTATAGTTTAAAGGGCATTTTGTCACATTTCAATAGTAAATCACGATATAAATTATTATTATGTCATATTATTAATATAGTACTGACTTTATTATGAAAATTCCACGTGTCATAATCCACGATGATCCTCACGTTACTGTTAACTTACAGATCGGTCCGGCAAAAGTTTCCGGTTTTGAAATAGACCTCATTCTCTGTAGGTACTTATGAGAGGAGAAGATAGCGCTAGTACCAATCATCAGCCGCCAGAGAGAGCGGAGAGTCCCGATTCTGACGAACAATGGTCCGGTGAACCTTTGAAAGGAACCCCGTCTGATGAGTGGTCACGTTTATTCCCACCTATTCCGGGCCTCGGATGGCCGTCAGATGCGATTCGGCTTTCCGCTCGGCCTTATCTCCACGGTAGTAATGACTGGGCCCACCGAACTGAAGACGTACCGGCCCCCAGCGGTCGACCCGGTCTAAACGGCAGGCGTGGCCCATTCGATCGGTAGACGCGACGGCTGCTGCATCTCTTCTCCCCCTCTATCTGCTACGGACAAAACTGCAGTCACACGTGTAGAGTTGATTTCTTCGCGGCAGATAGCAGGAAAGCGGACACGATTCAATTCTGAACGAGTTTTGGACATTTGAACGGCGCTTGAAGTCCACGTTCGCACGAGGGGGAAAGATGAAATGAACAGACGATCATTTACTATTCACGTGGTAGTGACGTCATAATTGTGATCGATGATATCCGGATGGGATATTTTTTTGCATTTTTTTATGATTTTATTTTCAGATTAATACTTCTTTTAGGATTTAAACACTTTAGAAATACGTTTAAGCAGCCATCATGATCCTCTCTCTCTCTCTCTCTCTCTCTCTCGCTAATAGCGGCTTAGATGGTTTGTGGTAATGGTATCCTACGGTTATCCTAAAAATCAACGGGTGAGAAATTAAAATAATGAGCAATAGATATTCTATATTAATCGAATGGATAAGATACGCAAATCACTAGTTAACAAGCAGCGACATCCACGTAATCATTTCTTAACCACGAGATGAAAAAGTAAAACTCCGTGTTAACACGGGTGAGGTTCGTCGTTGTCAGCTAGTGCGCTTTTAATAGCCGCCGTGCGTTGGTAATTTTTTTAGATATTTTTATTTTTATTATTTTAGTGATAATTAATGGCTGATTATCAATCGGTAGATGACGCTGTGAGACGACGTCAACAGAGTGACGTCACCCCGGGCTTCCCCTGCTTCCTATTCTGCTTCATACAAGAAACTTCCGCGAACGTATACTCACAGAGCCCTGGATGTATATAAGATCCTCGCGGACAGAAGGAAAGACGAAGACGGTACATAGAGAGAGAGAGAGAGAGAGACTAATGGAGTTGGGGGAGGTGAAGGACGTCCATTTGGGGCAGCGGAAATCGGTGGTCCGGGAGCTAACCAGAGGCCGGGAATCGGCCCTCCAACTGAGAGAGCTCCTGGGATTGAGCTCCGGCGGCGGCGGGAGGCTGGCGGAGGAGGTTGTGGCATGCTTCACGAGAGCCCTGTCGGCGCTGGATCAGGGGGAGTCGTCGGAGGTCTGCCAGGGAGCCTCCAGTGCCAGCTCCGGCGACTGGAGGAGCGCCGCCTCCACGGGGAAGAGGAAGCCCCAGCTCGCCGGAGACGTAAGAGGAGGAGCTCGGCGGAGGAGATCCTCCCACTCGGAAGAGTGGAAGGTGTCCTCGAAGACTCTCGACGACAGCTACACATGGCGAAAGTACGGACAGAAGCCGATCCAAAACGCGACGCACCCAAGGTGGCTCCTTCTCCTCTCCCCTCTGTCACTCCCCTTTCTTCCCGGAGTTGGTCGCCTAACCAGGAGGTCACCGGAATTCCGCAGGAGCTACTTCAGATGCACGCACAAGCATGATCAGGGCTGCCAGGCGATGAGGACGGTGCAGAAATCTGAGGAGAACCCGTCGGAGTTCATCATAGCCTACAGGGGCCACCACACCTGCAAGAGCGCCGGGAGATCTTCAGTGGCCGGCGCCGGAGGGGACGACGGAGGACCCTTCCTGATCTACTTCGACCGCCCCTCGTCGGCGCCCTCCTCCTTCCCATCGTCGAAGCAGGAGGTCGACGACGGCCACGATGCCGACGCCCTCAGCATCCTCAGCGGCAATGACTCCTCCTCGGACTTTTTCTCGCTGCCGGAGCTTTCGCCGGTGCCGGAGATGACGACGCCCCAATTTTACGACGTCTTTGGCCCAGACTCGCTGTCCTTCAGTTTCACCTAGGCCTCCGACCACTGCTAGATCTCCTCTTCCCTGTAATATATAACCGGACATCTCCCCCCTTCCGTCCCTCTCTCCTGCATCTCCTCACTGTGAAAAGTTTCATTTCCACTGTTCCCTCAACTGAAAAATCCATCATTAGTCATCGTATTTTTATAGTTCTCTATACGGCGGCGGCGGCGGTGGCGAAAAGTCAGACGGTGCCGCCGCCCCGCCGCCGCCGCCCCGCCGCCGCCGCCTCTGTGAGCAAGGCGTAGATGTCGGTTGGGGCGGATCCGGAATCCAATTGTAGCAAATTATCTCGGTTAACGGTGGAGACCACCGTGGATCCTCTGCCAAGACGACGAATCCACCGGTCAGGATTCTATGATCGGTGGAAAGCGGATGAATCTCCGTCGAAAATGAGATGCCATGGCCTGACGTCCTTCTTCCATTGCTACGTCAGACAACGTCTCTTGTTGAGCTGGGGTGAAGAGTCATTTGGTCCCCGAGTTGATCACGGTAGTTGGATAATTACCATTTTAGGGATTTTAGGATCTTGCTACATGAAAAAATCAAAATTTACCGGGTTTAAAACATAACAAATAGATTATTATAATTTATGTAATTATTTTTATTATATGTATTATTCATCTCCATTTGGTC